TGCTGTCTGATTTCTCTCATCATCATATCGAGATGGCCTGCACGCTGCTGGAGACGTGTGGACGTTTCCTCTTCCGCTCTCCAGATTCTCACCTGCGCACGAGTGTCCTGCTGGTGCATATTCACTGTTTTCACACACACATGCACACTTGAGGCCTCCTCCGTCCCACTGACACGTGTGTGTTTGTTTGTTTACAGGAGCAGATGATGCGCAAGAAGCAGGCTCAGCATCTGGATGTGCGCTACGTGACCATGGTGGAAAACGCCTATTACTACTGCAACCCTCCGCCGATGGAGAAGACGGTGCGCAGGAAGAGGCCTCCGCTGCAGGAGTACATCCGAAAACTGCTCTATAAAGACCTGTCCAAAGTCACCACTGAGAAGGTGTGTATGTTTGAGACCCTGAACCGCAAACACAACACATACAACTGATCAATCTGACAAAGCCGTGATGTGCAACATAAGAGAGAAGGTTTTGTGGTCACATAAATTCACGAGTGACATTTAGGGTCACTGATTAATTCATTCATTCATACAAACATTCACTCGCCTCAAATGATGACACTTTTACTCTATTTAGTTTTATTTTCACCAGAGTACAGGATTAAACCGTATATGCGTGTATATCGTATGTCTTTGTGTGTGTGTGTGTGTGTTCAGGTTTTGAGGCAGATGCGTAAGCTGCCGTGGCATGACAGTGAGGTGAAGGGTTACCTGATCTGCTGTATGGTCAACATCTGGAACGTGAAGTATAACAGCATCCATGTGTGGCAAACCTGCTGGCAGGACTGGTGGCGTATCAGGAGGACGTGGGCATTCATGTGGTGGACGGAGTGCTGGAGGATATTCGCCTCGGCATGGAGGTGTGTGTATATTTGTATGAGTGCTTAATACCGTGCTAATTGCTTCATTGTAATACACAGGAAAAGAAGACAGTTGATTTAGTTGAAGTCAATATTATTAGCCTATAATTTATTTTCTGTTTCATATATTTCCCAAATGATGTTGAACAGATTCAGGAATTTCTCACAGTATTTCCTCTAACATTTTTTTTCTTCTGGAGAAAGTCTTATTTGTTTATTTCGGCTAGAATAAAAGCAGTTTTTAATTTAAGAAACATTTTAAGGTCAATATTATTAGCCCCTCTCTTGTTTTGGATTGTCTACAGAACAAACCACTGTTATACAGTGACTTGCCTAGTTAAGCCTTTAAATGTCACATATTTTTGTTATGTTTTGGGAGAAGTCTGTCGCATTTCCAGGCAAAAAAAAAAGAGCTGGTTAAATAATAATTTGCCACGGGTATGAATTATTTCAGACTGTATATACTTATATGGGTGCACATTTTTTTAAATGTTTAATTTTTTTTTTATATGCAAAATTTTAATTATCTGAATAAAAATAAATGAATTAATAAAAATAAAATGTTCTTAAATTAAAGAAATTGTGAGAATTATTGGTTTATTACTATCATAAAATATAATGTATTTCTCTGTGTATTGTTATTAATAATGATAATAATACATAATTAATAAAAATAGATAATATTATAATAATAATAATAATATTAATACATAATAATGTAGTAATATAATAATAATAATAATAATATAATAATAGATAATTACTGCTACAAAGGGAATGATACAAACATTTTCTCTCTTTTTTTAAAGTTAACAAGAATAAAATGCACATTTAAAAAAAAAAGTAAGTTACCCTTAAGTAAAAAAAAATGTATGAAGGTAATAAAAATTTTTTTATGACAGCTTTTTTAATGTTTAATGGGGCTTTTTGCTTCTTATTAGGGCTGCACAATATTGGAAAAAATCTAACATTGGGATATTTAGCGATTTTATTTATTTATTTATATGTATATATTGTGATTATGAATATAATTTCACTGTATTTGTTGAATAACTGTTTGTAAATTTAAGATTGATTGGGATAATTATATAGGGTGCATATGCATACAATAACATAAACCATTTACAAGCACAGATAA